CTTTCTAATGAGATCTGATATTTGACCACAGCTGAACGAGACAGTGCTACTGACAGGCTGCTGCTCTGCCCCCTTTGGCTCTCATCCCTCACACCACAGTGATGCTCAGCTGGGAACTGCCTCAGAATTAACTGTTTTCCAGCTCCTTCATGTGGGAATCCAGGGCTTCCCTCTGGCTGCCCTGGCAGGTCTGGGACCCTGGCAGGGGGTCAGGAACCCCCCTGGACAGAGCCCCCAGAGACACTGTCTGTGATCTCTGTCCATGGAAAAGAGTTTTCAATCTTACAGGATGAATTACAAGCTCTGAGGGTTTGATATAAGTAATAATTAAGTGTGGCACGTGTGCAAAAGTAAAATTTTAGGATTCTAGATTAGGGGTTCAAAGGGGATAAGATGGAGGAATTGGGTGTGCCTTGTCCTTTTCTCCTTCTTCATGCCCTCCATGTTTCACTGTGCTGTTGGCATTTTTCTGTTGGTTTAGGCTGGGGACACACTGTCCAACGTAGGTGACAGATATTGGCACGTTATTGTAAATCCAGCACAGGGAGTTTCTGGTATTTAATGTTTGTACCATCCCACTGAGGGCAGAGCCCCACACGCTGCCCTGCAGGACAGAGCTGCGGCAGGGCAGCAGAACATGTTAGAGATAAACAGAATAAACAACCTTGAAACCAGCACAGACGAATTATGGCTTCTGCTTTGGCAGCGGGGCAGAAAGACAGAAACTTTCTGCAACCTCGGAATCATCGATACCTCAGATTCCGACACCTTCACACAAATCTTTTCTTTACCCCAAAACTGTTAATCCAGCTGCTTTAACTGTGGTTCTGGAGGCCAGGGAGAAAGCACTGCAAAAGCCTCAGGGACCAAAAAAGCATCCACCCTCCCATAGCCCTACACATCAGTTAGGATAACGAGAGCAGCAGTGTGTTTGTGGATCTAGCTGTAGCTCATCCACAGGAAGAAGCAGTAGTGAAAAATGGATTTTTAAGGTGCTTTTGAGCAGCCCTTGGTGCCCAGCACTCCTGTGTTTCTGCTGGAGGCAAGCAGAGAGTACACACAGGGCAGAACATGATTGCTGGAAAACTGGCTTAAGATGCTTCAAGGGCTTTTGGGGGGGGTGGAAAAAAATACCCTGGGGCCTAAAAGGAGTATACTGAAAAATAAGGAATTATTGACAATAAGGGGAAAATGGATTATTCTACCAGATCAGAAACCATTTTGGAAAGACAGCTTATCCCCAAAGTCGTGTTTGGGTAATGCAGCTATGAAGACAGGATCTAATTTAAATTCATAGTTGTTTAAAATAAAGACAACAGAGGAAGGTACTGCTTATAGCTCATGTATCTGACCCAGGCAACATCTGTTCCTGTCACAACCCTGATAAGTGGGGTTTTTGAACTTCAAATATCTGAGATTCTCCTGTCTAACCCTGGCAGTCCCCAGTTTTATCTACTGGACTCCATCACACAATGGTTTACAAATAGCTCTTCCACGTGGTCATAGGAATACCAACAGGAATAACAAGAAACTATCCAAACAAAAACATGACCCTTAGACTATCCAGACTTCCCTTCTCTGAGGTGGATCCATCGCTGTCAGCAATGCTGCAGATGAGATTAGACCTGCTGCTAAACCTCCCAGTTTCCATTCTGCTCATCCTTTTTTCCATCCTGAAAAGGGAGTTTATCTGCAGCTTTAGAAAGGCTTTGTCCTGGAGAGCAAAATCAATGTTTGTTAGCAAGGAAAGGTGACCCTCTGCAGAGACTCACCCTCAAGTCTCTGATTTTGGGTCTCAAATCATGACCCTGCACTCCTCCTCTGCTGTGACAGCCCTCACACTGGACCAAGGGAGAAGGCAGACGTGGTGACAGGGCTTGCCAGAGGCCACAACACGAGCCAGGGCTGATCCACTCTGTGCCTAGACCCAGAGCAGCCTGGTGAAGTTAAAAGCTCCAGAATGAAACTCAAAACACAATGATCACTTGGAAAACTCATTAATGGAAGGTATAAGAGGATCAGTAAAAGAGAAAGGCAAGGAGAAACACGACCAGAAGTTTGAGGGAAGTGATTTTGTCCCTCTCCTCTGCTCTCATGATACAGCACCTGCAGGACTGCAGCTCCAGAGCCTCCAAGGATGTGAATCTGCTGGAGCAGGCCCAGAGGACACCACAAAGCTGCTCCAAGGGCTAAGCCCTCTGCTCTGGGGACAGGTTGGGAGAGCTGGGGGTGTTCAACCTGAAGAGAAGCTCCAGGGAGACATTAGAGCTCCTCCCAGTACCTACAGGGGCTTCAAGAGATCTGGGGAAGGACTTTTGTCAAAGGGCCTGGAGTGATGGGATAAAGGGGAATGGTTTCCCACTGCCAGAAGGCAGGTTTAGATTAGCCAGTGATTCCTTACAGTGAGGGTGGTGGGGCCCTGGCACAGGCTGCCCACAGGAGCTGTGGCTGCCCCATCCCTGGAAATGTTCAAGTCCCTGCCAACCCAAACCATTCTATGATTTTATGAAAATGGACCTCTTTGATGTTATGGCTTAGGACTTTGTAGGAGTCAGTACTCATCTCTCTCGTTGATTTCCAGGCTCAGATGTGTCCAGAGCATCTGCAGGTGTCCCTCCAACCCTCCCAAGAGCTTGGCACAACACCCCAAGTGCAGGCACATCCCGCCAGGAGCACGTGGGACACAGCCTGTCCAGCTCCCACAGATCAAAAAGCCAGCCTGGGCAGAGCCTGGCCTAGCTTGCCTTCACAGAGCTGCAAGGACAAGCTCTGCTCTACTGACTTGTCTCCATTGCTGTTCTCCTGATGACAGAAAACATAAATCAATCTTTCCCTGGGAAAGGTGTGCCTGCATGGGGTGTCAAGGAGCAGGCACGGGCTGTGAGCCTGCAGGTCACATTACTCCATCTCCACGTGTCACTGAGGGCACTGCCAGGGCACTGCAGGTTCTCCTGCCCACAGTGGCACTGCAATGTGGCAATGCTGGCTGTGCCCAGTCACCAAAGTGTCCCAGGAGTGCTGTAAACCCACACCCACGCAGACACACTCCCAGCCTGTGCTCAGAGCCCAGCTCAAAGCATTTATCTCACTCTTCTTTATAAAATAGTCCCAGTTCCAGCCCTTCTCCATGCCAGGTCCACAGCCATGGATCCACCAGGGTTTCTCCAGGCAAACATCAGGGTACCTGGAGCCACAGCACGAGGATCCTTCCCATTTACTTCCAAGGTCGAGGTGGGGTCAGGACTGTTGCTGTAAGTGTTCTCAGACCCCATAATTTGGAAACTGCTGGCTCAGAGCACAGGAAAGGGAGCTTTGAAAGTCATTCTTCTCAACTCACACCCTTATTTGATTTAGAGTAAGATATATTAGCAAGATAAATTATATAAATAAATATATCTATTATGTGAGAAAGGACTTTGGTTTTATATGGGACAGAGCTCACCAGAGCAGGCATCCCCAGGGAGCAAACATTCACTGAGGACTTTCTGTTTGCTGTTGTTATGATGGGTTATTGCCCTGGGAGAGCTGAAGAACCCAGCTGAGCTCAGGACCCTGCCAGGCTGGACATCCAAACACCCAGGAGGGGACAGCCTCCAGCCCAGAGCCTCAGGGCAGGTCTCACTGCAGCCTTCCCCCTTTGTAAAAAAAAGAGCCACAGGGACTTTTTACAAGGGCAGGTAGTGATGGACAAGGGGGAACGTTTTTAAACTAAAAAAGGAGATTTAGATGAGTGAGATGTTAGAATGAAATTCTTTACTCAGTGTGTGAAAAGACACTGGCACAGGTTGCTCAAGAAGCTGTGGGTGCCCCATTCCTGGAAGTGTCCATGGCCAGGCTGGATGGGGCTTGAGCAACCTGGTCCAGGTGTCCTTGCCCATGGCAGGGAGTTGGAACTCCCTGATCCATGATCTTTAATGTCCCTTTCAGTCCAAACCTTTGTGATTCTACGATTCAAAGCCTTTTACACTTAGTTAGAGGGAAGAGAAAGAAAATGTGTGGAGAAGGATGCACAGAGATTAAATGAGGTGCCCAAGATCATGTGAGAAAACTCTGGTCATCAGGGTTGCAAACCAAACATATTTACCCTGCTACTTTACTCCTCCTACTGGAAATCTTATCACTGCTTGTGGGAGGAAGGGAAGTAATTTGAAAGACCCACCCTTCATTTTGTTAATTGTGATCATTACCAAAAAAAAAAACCTGTGTAATTAACACATTTCAACACTCCATAAAACATCTTCCATGTTACTAATTTATCTCCTGGATATGCAAGACCAAATGATTAGTGAAATAAGAGAGAAAAAAAAGTCAGAAAACATGAAGAAATGTGTCAGAAAAATATGGAATGAGAAGGAAAAAATATATAAAAACAGACACACCCTGCCTGATTCCATTTTGACTGCACAATTGGGTTCAATTGTGGTCCCAATTATGGTGCCAAGCTGGGTGCTGCTGGAACAGAATGGTTTTTCCTGTGCCATATAATGGTGATTGTAGTATCTGGACTTTTTACAATAGGGCAGATCCTGGGTTTGTAAGATAAGGATGAGAATAGGCTGTCCTTCCCAGAGACATCTCCTATCAGCCCTTGGATTTCCACATCTCTGCAGTTCCCTTGTGAGGCTGAAATGCCACTTTTCCCTGGGGCTGCAGGCAGGAAAGGTGCAACAGCCACATGCCACCACACCACAAGTGTTCATACCACGTCTCACACTGAGCATTCAGGCTCAGACACCTGAGTGACCTGAACAATTTGGGGAGAAAACAAACCAGTCAGGGCTGCTGAGACCAGCACAGCCCACCCCACAACAATCTGAGGCAGCAGCTCATGGGCTTGGGCAATGTGACCGTTCCTGACATGACAGATGTCCTCGTGGCTGTCCCAGAGGTGCCAGCATCACTCAGTGTGTGTGTCACAGGAGGAATGAAGGACCAGCTCTCACTGCTCCAAACCCTCCTGGTTCACCCCAGGCACCTCTGACAAAGCAAACTTTACTCACAGATCTGTGACTCTGGGGATCTCAGCACCTTCTTTGACTCCTGCCATATGGTTTTGCAGTCCTCCTGGAGCTTATAGAACCGCTCCTTTCTCCAGGAGCTTGACTTCACTTTCAGCAGCTGGCTGCCTTTCAGGAGGAACTTCAGGTCCTTGTCATCTTTGAGGCCTGTGGAGAAACAGAAGTGGTAATGTTTTAAGAGACAGCTCAAGAAATGATGATCAAAGAGTTTTCCCTTACACAGGGGCAGCCAGGTCTGGAGAGCAGAGCAGAGAGACCCAGAAATCCTCCACGCTGCTTTATGGTCACAAAAGAGGCTGAAGCCTTGTGTGCTCCTCAGATTGAGTCTGAACACTTTGTGTTATAATTCTCAGGTGTTTTACAAAGATAAAATACCTCCTTCCCAGCAAATACTGTTAGGATGCAAAAGCTACAACAAAACCAACAACAGAGAAGGAAAAACAGAGAAAGGAAAATTGCATAACTTGTATCTGGAATGCTGTCAGGAACTTTCAAATTATTTCAAATCTCTTCTGCAACAAAATTTCCTTTGTGGAAACAGGAATACACAAAGATATCTCTCATCCTCCTCTGGCAAACAGTGCCTTCCTATCCACGTGGGAATTCTGCAGATCAGATGAAGCTTAGGAGAAAGAAGTTTGGTGACAGGCAGCAACAGATCACTAAGACAGCAGTAAGGAGCAGCCACGATCTCCTCATTGCCCAACCATCCAAAGGGGCTTTGTCAGTGTAATGTCCAGTAATAACAACCAAACCTTCTGGTTGTGGGAACTTCAGATTTCACAACTTAGCCTAGATTCAGGAATGCACTTCAGACATCTAGAGAGGAAACAGGCACCTACTGAGACTCTGAAAACAGATTTGGCATTCTACATGGCTCTGAGTGTCTCAGCAGTGCATGACTTCCACATACCTAAATACCTTGGAGAATCTGTCCCTCAAACCAACCATTAATTACAGATCTGAAACATGCAGACTGAGAAGGAAGAGAGCATGAAACACAAGAAACCTACCCTGGGCTTTCTGTAATAGGCACCTTGCAGCTCTGTGACACTGCATAAAAGGCTGGTTCAGAGCTGGTGAAGCAGCATTTAACTCTGCAGCGCTGACCATGCACATCCCAGCTCAGAGGAAACTTTTCTAACCTCACCTTGCCAGTGCAGGTAGCCACTTGGCCACCTGCAGCCACCTGGAACTCAACTCCAGGGAAATTCCTCAGTATTATACAAACATAATGTGGAGTCTCCAAATAACATTTTTTCACTGCAGTGTCCCCTGTGACATTGGGTTGGTTCTTCTCTGGGAGACACAGCTGCTTTGAATCACTGTCTTTTAAACAAGGCAAGACAATAAACTACCAGGACTGCTTGAAAAACAAAACCCTGAGATCCAAGTGGCCAAATTTCCAGTCTCCTGACATTCCACACAGGAGACTGAAGCACCAGGTGCTGCAAAGCACCAGTGTGGGTCACGGTGGCAGCAGCAAAACCAGCACTGAGAGTTTGTAACTGGGATGCACTGGCCTAAAGAGAGCATTTTAGGCTGCCAAAGCCTGAGATTTACATCAGAGATAAATATTAAGGGTGTCCAGTGTCCACTTTGTGAGCAGCTCACACCATTTACTCATTTTACAGAGCTCAAGGAGCATGCCCAGAGCTGAGCCAGGCTGAAACATCCAGACTGGAAAGCACCAGAGCACAAGCTGGAGATCCTGCAAAGGTGGCTTTGGCTTCTCTCTTTCCTTAAAGTTAAAAGAGGTATCTCATTAATTGTCTTCCTTGCTACAGCACTGCTTGGCTCCCCAGCTCATGAGTGCTCTGGAGGTTCCTAAGAGGGGAATTTGAATGCTTCCCCCACGGAAAGCCTCAGAAAAAAGTTAATGGAGAGAAGGAAAAAAGATGTCTCCTGCAAAGCACAGAAGGGTGACAAGTTGAGGCCAGCTATGGGACCTGGGACAGCATTCCCAGGGGTTGATGAGAGGCCAGACCATCTGGAGGAAGGACACACACCACCACAGCTTCACAGGGTCTTGTCTCCTGAGCTGGCCTCTTCTCTAAGGCAAAGGTCCTCCAAGTGCACAGACTGCAGCCTCACTAACATCCCTGGGGCTCCCCTCAAGGTTCCTGGAGAGGAAACCAAATTCTCCCTATTCACCCACATTTCTATCCTGGCTCCCAGCTCAATTCCTTCTTTTCCTTCAGATCCCAACCACTCTCAATCATTACAGGACTAGGAGGAGGACAAGTCATCCTGGGGTGACATGACAAGGAGAACAGGAAACCCATCAAATCATTTGGATGCTGATGTTTGTAAGTGTGGAATGAGAAATCCATTTAACCAGGGCATGTTTTGTTCCACAGACCCTATGTGCAGCATGTGTAACGTGTCCTGCTACCAGGACATCCCAAAGAGATGCACCAATGTAATAAATGTGGATGGGCACAGGTGGTGGCCAAAGGCACATTCCTCTCCTCCAGGCTTGAACCACAGAGTTCAGACACAAGCTGGAGCTCAGAGCCCTTCATCCTGTCCACCAGCACAGCCCAGTCAGTGTAACAGCATGGTCAAAACTCCCCTTCTTCATCCCCAGTGCTTCAGGCTCTGCCTTCTCTGCCCAAGCAAGCACTGGCACAGACTCTTCTCTTGGGTGAGTAACTTCTGTGTTCCTACCTGCTTTTTGTTAGGTCACAGTGCAGCATAAAACACTCTGATCTGCTGACACAGGAACCACAAACACACCCCTGATGTGTCAGTGGGACATTACTCTCAGCTGGTTATTTGAACTGCTTTCCAGTAAAAAAAAAAAAAACACAAAACCAAAAAAACAAAACAAAACAAAAAACCCCACAAAAAACCACAAAAAAACCCCAAAACACCAACACCCCCCCCCCCAAAAAAAAAAACCCAACAAAAACCTCACCACCTTTTCCCAGCAGAAACCTGAATATTTCTTCCTAACAACCCCATGGAGAATCATGGAATGGTTTGGGTTGGAAGGAACCTTACAGGTCATCCCATTCCACCCCCCTGCCATGGTGGGGACACTTCCACTAGACCAGACTGCTCAAAGCCTGAAGCTGAGGAGGTTTGTGATCCCAAGCTCCATCTCACCGCAATGAAAACACACATCTGAGAAACAAGAGTCACTGTACACATACATCATGTAAAAGTTAAAAAATGCTGTGCAGCAGGACAAGGATATTGACTCCCAACTCTATAACAACATTTAGCATGAGAAGCACAATCTGAAGCACTGCACTGAAATAGATGTGCAAATCCTGCCTGAAGCATATGGCAAGACTGTGTCTTGCTTAGCATCCTCTGTAAAATACCAAATACACACTTAGCATTCAAAATTCCAGAGTGCCTTTCAAGGGTCAGGACCCTCCTACTTACAAAACATCAATCACACACTTTCTGAACAGAATATATTCAGTACGCAGTGAAGTTCAGAGTGAAAATCATGTCTGGCCAAGGTAGGAGTGCCTTGAGCACACACAGCACCACAATAACCATCGTGTTAATACACTGCACTAGGAAGCTTCAGACACTGAGACATCAGAAATGTTAACCTTTGGCTTATCTAGCTCAGGTTTACAGCAAGCAGGAAGCCCAATAAAACAATAGCTGTCATGGTAGGAGAGGGGCTTTGAGTTCACTGAAGAACTAGTTAGGATGACAGCAATAATCTGTATTGTTGCACTGTTCTCACAAATCTCCTGTTCTGATTGAACTCAATTACAGTCACTATAAAACAAGTCTCCTCCTGCCCACTTTCCCCCTCCCACCTGCTTACAGACCAGGTTTAACTCAGGTTTGCTGGTTGAAAAGGGCAGAAAGAAAAAGGTGAGAAACTCTCTGGGGACAAGAACTCGAGTGAGTAAATGGCTATTTCCCACTTCCAACCACCCTGTGTGTCCCACTGGCATCCACTGGGGCTGTGAGCAGGAACCAGCAGTGAGTTCATAGCCAGGCACACAAGTTATGAAACTCCCTGGGTTTCCTCTTTCATCGGCAGCCTCTGCCTGCTTCCCTGGGCTCTTACAGCAACAGGCAACACACCACCGAGCAGGGCTCAAACTGGGCTTTCAAAAACCCTCCGTCAGAGGCAGCTCAGAAAGCCCAGCAGGAAATTTGGGAACCGAGCTTTTGCCCACACTCTTTGATGCCTCCATCGAAGCTGTTCACACATCTGGCGTGTGGTTACAGGCGAACGAAAGCAAAGGAAACCTCGGGAATTTAAAAATAACCCCGGTCCTTAGGGTGGAGCGCTGTCTGTGCGCGGGGAAAAGAGAAAAGCAGCGGCTGCCCAGAGCTGTCCCTTACCCAGAGCTGTCCCTTACCCAGAGCTGTCCCTTACCCAGAGCTGTCCTTTACCCAGAGCTGTCCCTGACCCAGAGCTGTCCCTTACCCAGAGCTGTCCTTTACCCAGAGCTGTCCCTTACCCAGAGCTGTCCCTTACCCCGAGCTGTCCCTTACCCAGAGCTGTCCCTGACCCAGAGCTGTCCCTTACCCCGAGCTGTCCCTTACCCAGCCTGATGCCATTCAGCGCCGCCACCCTACGGCTCTGCTCCAGCAGGATGTTCTCCTGGGACACGGTGCGCTTGGGCTGCCTCCGGATGCACTGCATGATCCAGCGTGGGGCTCGGGGAGGGCTGGGGGGCCGTGCCACCCCTGAGGGGACCCCGGCTCATCCAGGAGCTCCGGCGGTGTCCCACGGGGCTCCAGGAGCCAGCGCCGGGAGCGGGACAGCGGCAGCGCAGCCGGGCAGGGCAGGGCAGAGTCCGGCCGGGGGTGGGACTGCGGAGAGTCTCTCCTCCTGCTTCACACGCTGGATGCAAAATCAAACCGAGGAGCCCGCCGGCAGCTGCCCAGGTAGAAGGAATAAGTTTTCCACCAGTGGGATTTTCCGCATCGTTTGCAGAGGTTGGAGGAGCCGCAGATTTTGTTTGTGGCTCCTGATCACTGCCTTGGGTTTGTCAGCTTGTCCTGCCCACGAGTGGCTGGATCCAGCGAGCCCGGCTCCACCTTTTGTTTTCTGTGCAGAGCTGCTCCGTGCTGTTCCCACTGACAGATGAGACCCAAAATATGCTCGGAAACTGAGTTTTAATTGTCTTCCTTTTCCTAAGAGCGCCTTCTCTGCCGCCGATTTCCCGTGTGACTTGGGTGAGTCACTGACCCCACATTTCTGCATAGCTTTGGGTTTATTCTTGCAATGTAGATTTACCCTGCACTCTGGTATAGGAATAAGCCTCCTCAGGGATTTAACAAGTCACTGATTACACAGAATCACGGAATAATTCAGGTTGGAATGAACCTCTGGGGCTCTCTTGTTCAACCACCCATTCAAAGTGAAGAGTCACCTTCAAAGGTAGATCTGGTTGCTTGCAACCTTGTCCAGGTAAGTTTGGATATCTCTAGGGACAGAGACTCCAAAACCAATTTAGATACCCATACAAAAGCTCAGATGTTCTCAGAAGAATTTCTATGTTATGACCAGTATAAATTTCCTTTGCTGAAACTCACAGCCATTCCCCATTGTCCTGGCAATGGCAGGGACTAAATCCATCTCTTCCCTAGCCATGACCTTTTCTGAAGGGAAAAACAGCAGCTATACACACACCTTGTCACAGAAATTTTTTTTTTCCCTATTTTGTCATTGCTTTTGCCAGCTGCTTCTGTAAGGGTGAAGGTACTGCAGGGACATGGGTCAAACACCGGAGGGATATTCCTTACTGCAGAATCAGCATATACCCAAGAAACTTAATATCAAACTGCACTGTTTTAGCCACTGTTTTCGACCTAAATTAAGGCTCTCCATCACCAGCCCCTCATCATAGTCAATACAGGTTTTATAAACATTATCTCTGTTTCTGGTGTCTATCAATCCAGACATCTTCCCCTTCTTTCTCAGCCATTTGAAGGAAGCCCTACCAGCCCTCACAGGGAAGCACAGAGCACTGGGTTGTTTGACCCACAAGGACAGGGTCAGTCATTCATCAGTGCCATACACCACAGGTGAGAAACTCTCTGGGGACAAGACACAGCCATTGCCTGGCCTTGAACAGCAGTACACCTAATAACTCTTTATTTATACACAGCCTTTGCAGATCACAGCCAGCCAAGGAGAATAAAGGCAATTTCTGGATGGGACATTGCTGAACGTGTTAGCCAGATTGTCAGTGTGTTTGGGAAACACCTCCAGCCTTTCTGGGCCCCCTGCACAGACAGGGGCTGGATGTCAGAGCTGTGATCTTCACAGCACTCCCCTGGGAGCTTTGTTTTTGCCCTGGAAAGGAGGCAAGCACCATGATGTAATGGCTGGATGATATTTATTAGCTATCAGTCTCTGAGCACTTCCCATATTTCATATTGTGCTGGAGAGGACTGATCTAATTAAAGGAGTGGGGAAGTCTCCTGTAATTGCCTTAGCAAAACAATTTGCTTCTACACACCAGCTCTCCTGTCCAGCAGCAACCAGCATCCCATAGGGATTGATCTGGGAACACACACAGCCCCTGTGCTTCACTTTCTCATTAATTCCTAATAGCAGTGCCAGTGACAGCTCTGCTCAAAGCTTTCCATGCCCTTGGAGAACATTTTACTGTACTTAGCCCTGAAGTTTGCTCACACACTAAGCACAGGGTCAGCATTCAATGAGTTTAGATAGCTCTCCAGAACAGCAGTGTGCAAGTTCTGCTGTTGTGAGGGCTTCAGAGATGTAAAGCAGTTCAAATCAGTTTGTTTTTAACATGAAGATTAAAGAGATAAATCGGGACAGAAATTCCCTCCTTTGGGAAATGACTGAGCTGGATTTATTGTGGCCTTGAGGTCATTTAATGACAATGTCACAAGTCACAGAAGAAGCCTGATGGGTGTGACATGGCTACTGATGTTACACGATGCTGCTGTCACACTCCAGCACAGGAGGAAGTGATTCCTGCAAATGGCTTGTGGAAAAATTCTTCAAGCCTTATTCACTGCAGGTAACTGCACCTCAGTGGGTCGTGCAATTTTACCCGTGTGACCTATCCTAATTAAATAAATGGCCCTGGTCACAAGAGTGAAGTTATCCACATCCCTGTACCCAGGATTTGGGCTGTGCTCATCACCCTGTTGATTCCAGCTGGATTACTCACAGAGCAAATGGAAATCAATGGGAATGAGGATGGCAGAACATGGTCCCAAAGTTAGCAAAGTGCTTGAATATCCAGGAAACAGGCACTTGCAGATGGAGTAGCTGCAGTGTCTGGTAGGAAATGGGCTATGTGAGAACACTACAATCCACAGGCTGCTCTTCAGATGATTTCCCAAAATTAATTAATCTCGTTCACATCCTTTCACAAGGGAGTTAAGGAAGCACTATTGCCACTTCCCACTGGGAGAAGCAGGTTGGCTTTTGAGTTCTTTATTAGGGCTGCACTTGTTCTCCAACTACCATCACATTTAGGCAACACCAAAAGTGGTACAACCCAAATTGTGATCACAGTCTCTTTAGAGCGCATTAACAAAAACGACATGACAAAACTCAGCTGCTGATTTGCCCAGACTTGTGATAATTTAGCAGCAGAGTAAAAATACCTGTGCTGGTGATGACTTCACCACTTCCCCACCACATCATGCACATGATGCAAATTAGAACTAGTAATGCTTATGGGAACTACAGATCAAATAATAAATGTCATGTTCAGGGGAGATTTTCCCCCTAAAGAAGCCAAAGGTTGTTCCTTGCTCGGTGTTTGTTACCACGAAGGAAAAAAAACCTAGATTTTTTTATTCTAAAGAATGTGACAGAAAGGTGCCTTCCCTATCTGCAGAGTGCCACCTGCCCTGTCCTTCCCTCTGGAGTCTGTACCTCACTCCATCCGTGCCCTGCCATATTCCACCTGCAGAAACCCTCCTTCCTCCTTCTCTGCTACTCCAGGACACCACTCACTGCTCTCAGCTTATTCTCCCCAGTGACATTTCACATCCTCTGAGAACCAACCACGCCTTGCTGTTGGCACAGCTTCTCAACTCCAGCAGAAAATGCCTGTGCATCCTCTATACCAGCACTTTCCATGTTCCCCCCCGTGGGGATCAGGGAGTGGGTGCTGAGCCCAGATTCATGGGTGCACCCCTGGCCAGGGATGCTGCTGCTTGTTCCCAGAGGTTCCTCTCCAGAGCATGTGGTATGTACCAAGTTCCACCTTGTGGTCACACTGAGAACGGGCTTCTCCAGCAGCAAACCTTGCATTGGCTTTTCTGGCCCTCTCCCCTTCCTGAATGCTTGAGAGGTCCAGCTGAGCTGGGGCAGAAACTAAATATGTTAAACCTTAAAAACACATACAGGAGGAATTCTCCCAAGTCTCGTGTTGAAGCCTCCCTCTGTCTGCCCACTGGCCAGGAGCTGTGGGATGGGACCAGCACTGCCCAGCATTTCTCAGCCCCACTTTCTCTCTGGATGTCCCACCTTGTCTGAACGGTCTCTGGCAGGAGAATGGTCCCTCCTCCAGCTCTGACAAGTCCACACAGCCCATCCTTCCCCAAAATAGGCTGGTTATATCCACAGCACCCACTGGGAAGGGCTGCAAGCCCATCACCCAGACCGTGCCATCTGCCAGCTTGCTGTGGATCAAATCCAGGCTGGGGAATGTGCTGGAAATTAAACAGTGCCGAGCCCTGGCCCTGCTTGGTGTAAACGAAGCCAGGCTGCCTGCTCAGACATTTCACAGACAGACAAATCATGACTTTTATTTGTGAAAACCTTCATACATCTTCCTGCCAGTCCAGGTCCCTCCCAGGGAGCTTGGATCAGTGCAGGGAACAAGCTGTGACCCATCAAAAACTACTGCCCTGAGTTCTTGATGAAATCCAGGTAAAACAAAACACTCAGCTAAAGTTCATCGTGCTTGGGAACCCAAAACTAGACTGAAGGTTTGGTTTGCTGCTTCCACTGGTCCCTTCATCACAGTGCACACAGAGATCTGGCTGCAAAGAAAGTGTAAAAAAATACTGGCCTGCAATAAATTACAGCTCTTCCAGTAGCTGGTGGGGAAAGAAAGTAATTGAAAAGAAGGGTATCAACTGGATGGATAAGACCAGGATCAGCAGCCAGGAGCACTTGAGCAGCTCAACTGCCCAACTCCCAAATCGTGTTTCTGGGAACATGCTGATGAAGATGTTCTCTTCATAAACCCAAAGCCAGTTGTAGGTGGGTCCCAGCCTCATTTTCTAAAGGCCACTTAACAGCTTTTCTCCACATTTTCTTCAGGAGCTGAAATTTCTTTAATAGACAAAACACGGATCATTCTCAACATTCTGCAGCGGGGCAAAATTTGTGCAATAATTAAATTGCACAACTGAATTATGCAAAATTAGGGTATTTTTTTTCCCCCTAAAGGATTTATCTGGAATTTCTGTACCTCTAGCCAAAACCAGCCATTGAGACTTGTGTGGTACCTCAATACAGGGCTTTAAAAGGTACCATGTGAGGGAAAGCCTGAGGTGTGAGAATTTTCCCACACACAGTGTTTAGGCTGGCTCATTTAAGGTGTGCAAGTTTAGAAGAAACTATGTCAAAATCTTCTCTGCCTGCACAAAGGAAAAAAAGAAACCTCTATGCCTAACCAAGGTCTGCAGCCTTCTGGTCTGGTGGCTTGGCTGAGTGAGGACTGAGAACTTCCACCCACGGGAAGCACCTCAGTGACACATGGCTGAGGGTCAGACTGCAAGATTTAATTATCTACAGTGCCAACAAGGGGCCAGGAGAAGACAGGATGCAATCCTCCTGCCTAGATCCCTATAAGCCTAAAATTTCTTAGAGATACTGGCAGTGACCCAGCTGAATCCCACCCTGTGTGATCACCAAGTGTTTATCTGCAGCTTTCCTTCCAAAATACCTTTTTAAATTGAAGTCCCTGTACAGGAACATCAATTTTGCTCCCAAATCATTGACACCTTTGGCTCCCAGCTATCTATCCAGGCAGCTGAGCT